GGGGGGGGGGCAGGAGCCAGCCAGGCACATGAGTCACTTCGGCCGGTCCTGTCTTTGTGCTCCTGCAGTCCCACCCCCGCTGCGGGCGGGCTCCCTCCCACAGCCGTGACACAGCACTTTCCCAAAATGGGGTCCCCGCAGGGGAGGGGGGGGGGGCAGGAGCCAGCCAGGCACATGAGTCACTTCGGCCGGTCCTGTCTTTGTGCTCCTGCAGTCCCACCCCCGCTGCGGGCGGGCTCCCTCCCACAGCCGTGACACAGCACTTTCCCAAAATGGGGTCCCCGCAGGGGAGAGCCGCTCGGGAGACCCAGAAACAGGAGAGCCGGCTGTCTGCAAGCAGGGGGGCTGCGCCAGGGGCTTGGGGGGGGGGGTTACTCCCGGGCGTGCCCCCTCCCCCTGTCCCCTGCAAGAAGCAGGCAGCCAGACTCTCATCCTTCCCTGGCTGCTTCCCCCTGACCGGGGTGACCTGCCCCAAATCCACACATTCCCACCCTCTTCCCAGCCAGCCCCAGCTCTCACGGGCGGCGCCCCGCCATTGCCCGGCTCTGAACCCCCCTGCCCGAGCCCCTCGAGGCATTGCAAACACCCAAGGTCAACCCCCGCCCTGGGCCCAAGGTGAAACCGCCCCTCCGAGGTAACCTGCGCCCCACACCCACGGTCACGGTGACCCCAAACCCCGAGCTATTGCTGAACCCCATCAGACTCCTTGCAATCGCCCCCACCCGATACAAAAACCCATCACCTTCTCTCCCAGCTGCCCCCTGCAATTGCAGAGACCTGCATGCTTTGCCCCTATAAAGCCAGCCCCCCAATACTAAACGATGCTAATTAAAACAAATACGCTAACTGCCCTACACCCACCACAGCTGTTCTTAAAGGACCCCCCAGGCAGCAGCCAAACAGGCTCTTAATAGGGTCATTTCCTCCCTAACCCCCCCAACATTTTCCCCCATCCTAAGATACACTAATGCATGCTAATTACCCCACGTCTGCCAATGCGCCCCCAAGGCAATAGCTACCAAAGCACTTAACAGGGTCCTCCCCCACCCCAAAAAAATTCTTCCTCCAATCCTAATATGCTAATTCGCACCAATTGCCCCAGACCTGCCATGGCCGCTCCCAATGCACCCCCCAAGGCACCAGCTACAAAGGCTCTTCACAGGGTCCCCCCACAAAAAATCCCTCCTTTTTTCTTGGGGGGGCACAAGATGGGGGCGCCCTAGGAAGCCACGTGAGAGACCAGCCCCTCTGCGCCCGTCCATCAACCCTGTCCTCGGCTCTGATT